GGCACCTGGGAGCTGTGGCCTCACCTTGGCTTCATACCCATTCACCATCTCAGTCTTCTCACTGCGCCAGCCCAGGATGCCAGTCTTATTCCTGGGGAAGGAGAGTGTTGCAGGTGAGGGGGTACCCCACTCATCTGGCTCCAGGCTACCCAGGCTATGCCTACTCACCTCTCAAAGGAGATGTTCCTGGTGTCAAGCTGCGTTGTGACAACGGGTGCGGTGAGCCGGCTCAGCACCTGCTCCTCGGTGGGCTGAGCAGCGGCCAGCAGCAGCTCACGGTCCTGCCCAGCCAGCGCCAAAGTCTCTGTGTACACCACCCGGCGGTCGTGGTCAATCTCCATGACCATGGCGCTTGTGTCTGCCAGCCACGGAACAGCACAAGGGGGATTAGGAGTGACAGGCTGTCCCCAGCCTCCCCACCCTGCCCCACCTCCCACCTGCCCGACCTTGGCCCCTGAAGATGAAGCTGCGGTTCCCTCGCTGCCATGTCATGTGGTCAAAGCCCAGGAGCGTGGTGTCTACCCGCAAGTTCTGACCACTCTTCCACACTTTGTAGGTGTCACTAGGGCAGATCTTGGATACCAGGGGCACTAAGTAGAAGGGAAAGTCAGAGGTGGCTTCAATTTGCCTGGCCCACCCAAGCTGAGCCACCTCAGGGCATGGGGGTCAGGGTTAGTGGTGGGCCAAGAAAGGGTAAGGAAACTGGTGGGAGAGTAGCCCATTCCCCCAACTTCCCCCACACCAATGTAGACCACAGTCACTCAGATATAATCAACCCAAGGCTGGGGACAGGCATGTTTCAGCCACTGCCAAGTCTTGAATTTCTACCATTTGTTCATTCATTCACTCAACCTTCCATCCAATCTTCTAACAAGTATTTATTAAACACCTACTGTGTGCCAGGCACTATTCCAGTCTCTGGGGATACAACATTGAACAAACAGTGCCCCTGCCCTTTTGGACCTTACCTTCCAGCAAGGGGTGACAGGTAACAAATGAACAAATCATTACAAAATGAAGGAAATCATAATAATGGAACTGAGACAGTGTCTGAGGCAATGTGGAAAGGTCTGAGGAGGCAGCATTGATTTGAGAACTATAAGACGAGAATATGCCACAGAAGAGCTATGAGAATGCTCCTAGCAGGGAGCAGCAAGTGCAAAGGCCCTGAGGTGTGAGAGTGCCCAGAGAGGCCCCATCAGCACCTCTTACCCCAGCTTGTGAACTCCCACTTCATCTCCACGTAGAAGTCCTGGGCCTAGAGGATGAGAAAGAGAATGGCTAAGCCTGCACTAGCAATAGTGCTCAAAGGCTACAGCACAGAGGCTGGGAGGTTGGCCCTCACCTTGCGCAGCTTCTCCAGGAGCACGGGGATGCCTGCCAACCGCTTCACCACCCGCTGGTAGTCCCGGTACCGCAACACCAGCTGCACCAACTCTAGGTCCCGGGTACTCACAGCCTCCTGAAGCACTGGGGAACGGAGAGGTCACAAGGAAGAACCCTGCCTAGGGCTCCCTTCAGTCAACCAGAGGTGAGGACATAAAGCTGGGAGACCCTGGCTGTGGGGCCAGGATGAGAAGGGGTGCCCACCTGTCCAGCCGCTGCGATTCTCCCTGCCCACGTCTGCACCGTGTGCTAGGAGCACACGAGCACAATCAAGGTGCCCCAGCGTGGTGGCCAGGTGTAGGGGAGTACGGCCACGGGGATCCAGCTGCTCAATGTCCACCTGGAGAAGGAGGTGAAGACATAGCCCTGTCACTTCTGAGGCAGCCCATCTGAGCCCAACAACCTCTAAGCAGGCAGCAACCTCCTGGCTGCTCTGCCTTGCCCACCTCACAAGGTAATGGAAGAGACAGACACAAGCTGGGGTCCGGTGAGAGGGGAGGGGCCTGTGGGACACGACAGGAAGTAACTCTGAGAAAGGGAGGGCCTTCCTCTTTCCTGTCCACCTAAGTCCCCAACTGGGTTCACTCCTTCAAGGCCCCCCAGGCTGCCTTCAAAGAGTAAACCTGGAGCTTACAGGTGGTCTAGAGAGGTTGCTTACCAAAGACAGCACCTGAGACAGGACGTATCCTGGAGTCCAAGACCACGCCTTTAGGGAGGGCTACCAATTTACATCACTGACATGATCACTGAGTGAGGTTTAGTGAACAGTTATAGTAAAACATTGATAGGAATGAAAGAATATGTTCATGATACAACTTCAAACCTACATCTTGTGCCTGTGGGACATTATGTATTAACATTTTAAAAAATCCTATTAATGTTTTGTGAATAGCATGATTATATTGCTTGAGATTTTTGGTGGGTGATAAAAGCATGGTTGTTAAATACAAATATTTAAACATATTCCAGGAGTCTAGAATTTCTAGTTAAATACAGTGTACTGACCATGTGCACGTAATTCCCCCCCTCCTTCTTAAAACTTGATTGAAATGCCTGTAAAAGATGTCTACTCCAACTATGAAGAGATCATTGAAACTATCCTTCCACCGTAAATAGAGAAAAACCACTGGTTCAAAATATTTGAAATTGTTTTTAAACATTAGGCAACAGGTAGGCTAGGACTGTGATCCCTGAAGTAAGAGAAACAAAACATGATGGGCCTTATGATAGCCTGGATTTCTAGCTGAAGGAACATTCCAGACTGCAATTCAGGGAGGGGAATCTCCATCAGAGCATGATAGTCTCGGTGAAGAGGTGAGGAGACAGACAGGAGTTCAGGGAGGCTGAGGAAGCCAGAAGTTGCAGGGCAGAGTTCAGGAAGGAGGGAGCTATGTAGATAAAAGAGCTCTAGAAAACTGCATGGGGTCCCTTTGAATCTTTGCTGAATACTAAACTTCACATGTATAGAGTGAAACTCAACAACACCAGGCAGAAAAGGAGCAATAAGCTGATAAATTCTCAGCGGTCATCCAGGGCAGGGGGACATTCAAGCTCTAGCCTGCCAGACTGGAGAGTCTTTGTTGTTTACCCCAATTCTTGTTCATTATTCAAAAGAGACCTGAGAAGGATTATGCCTTAGTAGTAGGGTTCAACTATCCCTAGAGAAAAGGCTCGCCTTGACCCAATCTAATAATGACTAAAAAGAAACTCAAAAGGATCAAACTGATTTACAAGTAACTTAATTTAGTCTGCCAGAACAAAGCCTAATACTTTCAAGGAGGACAACAAAATCCAGATGCTTAACATCACAACATTTTCAATGTCCAACATCTGGTTAAAAATTACTAGACCTGAAAAGAAGTGGGAAAATGTGACCCATAATCAGGAGAAAAATCCCTTAATAGAAACATAATAAGAAATAATAAAGATGATGAATGGCTCAACATGCTCAAGAGTACAAAGCTAAACATGAGCACGACATTCTGGGGAAAACAAATAGGAGAAAACAAGTACAATATCGGAAATGAAAAAATCACTGGATGGAAGTAACACTACAGAATAAAAAATCGGTGAACTTTAAGACACAGCAATAAAACTATACAAACTGAAACATAGAGAAGAAAAAAGTACTGGAAAACATTCAAGGAGCCTTAGCAATCCGTGAGATGCTATAAGGCATTCTAACATATGGATCCGAGGATAGGGTAAGGAGGTAGGGGAGATAAAACAAATATTTTCCAAATTTGTTTAAAAAAAAAACTAGTAGTGGGTTGAATACAAGAAAATATATGTCTACATCCTAACGAGCAGAATCTGTGAATGTGACCTTATTTGGAAGAAGGGTCTTTGCAGGTATAATTAAATTAAGGATCTCAAGATGAGATCGGCCTGGATTACCCAGGCAGGCCCGAATCCAATGACATGTCTCTATAAGACACAGAGGGGAGAGATACATATAGAGAGGAGAAGTTCCATGGAAGGTGGAGGCANCTCCCAGGCCCAGTCTACACACCCCCTGCCGCCCCCTGCCCGACACGGCCTCTCGCTCCGCGCCCCGCAGCAGCACACTCTGGAGACGCTGCTGGAGGAGATCAAGGCCCTTCGCGAGCAGGTGCAGGCCCAGGAGCAGCGCATCACGGCCCTGGAGAACATGCTGTGCGAGCTGGTGGACGGCACGGACTAGCGCCGCGCGCCGGGGAAGCCCCGAGCCCGGAGGACTCAGCCGGCCCGGCCCAGCTCCTGGTCCGGAGCCCCGGACCCTGTCTCTCTGGGCTGGGGTCGCGGACGGGACTGGAAAGGAATTGCGCCTCTCGCGGGAGTCTGAGACAGACCGAGAGTCGTGTAGACTCGTGTATGCAGGAGCCCGCCAGCGCCTCGTCCAGGACTCGACAGAAACCAGCCTTGGGAGGCCCAGGGTGACGGGGCCTTAGCAATGGTGCTGCAGAGAGGCGTGACCCCTCTGTACCCCACCCAGGGCAGCGGAAGTACGTATTACCACGATTCTTGGGGATACTGGGGAGCTACGGCTTGACCGCAAAGGGGTGGCCATCCGATGGGTCTCCCCGACAGTCTGGGGGAAATTACGCTTCCTCCTCTAATCAACTCACTTGATTGCACCACCCCAAGTACTAAAACGTACGGACGTCACCCCAGTTCTACAGACCTAACAACCCCATGGGTCTGCCGGACCCACTAGCTGAGCGCTACACCGTGCAGTCTATGGCAGAGGGCTCTCTTCCTCCTTTCCACCGCGAGGGAGAGGGCGGCGCCCCCACTGGAGCCCTAACAAAAATTGGCATGAGGAAGCCCATTCACACACCCCTCCCCACCCCCGACACACTGTCCCTGGTCCTCTGCTGTGGCCTCGACTCTAGGAGGGAAATGGGACGTACTGAATGAAATATTTTACTGAGAGCTCAGTCTGTGTCTCCTACATGGGTGGAGGTAAGACCCCAGGCGGTGCTAATGCTGCCCCCAGACAAATTCATCCCTGGGCTCAGGACACACTGGGCACCCTCTGACCTCAGAGCCCTACCACCTGCGGTTCCGAAGGAAACCCCAACCCGCAGATTGTCCTTCTTCCCCAGCAAAGCCAGGTAGGAAAAACCTCGGGTTTGAATCCTCTTTTATTTGTGCCTCAGAATCAGTCTGGTGCCCCTGGCATCAGGGAAGGGGGTGAGAGGAACAGTTTCTCTTTGTTCTTTTCCTCCATCTCTTTCGTGTCCCTTCTGAGCCTCACGGGCTGATCCAGGAAGGCCAGTCCCAGAGCCCCCGAACAAGGGTATGCGGTAGGCCCCTGGCCCTGGTGGGGTCTGTGCTTCTCTGGGTGGGTGAGTGGGGTGGAGCAGGGTCGAGCCAGGGATTAGCACCATTGGATGAAGGGTTTTTAAGTCAGCCCCTGAGTGGGGGCAAGTGGGACACACAACCACAGAGGACTAGCAGCAGCTGGTGGGAAAGGGTGGGTGGTGGTGCCAGGGCCCCGGGCAGGTAAGATATGTCGACAGCCCCAGGATGCACCTGCCCATAAGCGGGGCCAAGAGACAGGGTCTAGTGCTTGCTCCAGCCCAATATGCCCGCCATTTGCCAAGACAACATGAAGGAACCAGGCCTTGCTCAGGCCCGGGGGCCATTTCGGGCACCTTCCCTTATCACAAAAACGTGCCTTGGGAATGGGGACACTCCCACCTCTGGCAACCCAAGAAGCTGGGACCACCCTGAGACCTGGGAGGGGTGTGGGGCTGAGGGAGCCAGGCACCCCGCTAAGTGCACTTGACGCTGAAATGCCGGGGTATGGGAGGGGCTGGGCCCTGGCCTGGTCGTGCTGGCTTGTGTCTGGGACTAAGCAGCAACACAGCACGTGTGGAGCTCAGCTGCCCCCAGGGGTGAAGAGCGGAGATGCAAAGGCTTCACGGACAGTGTCCTGGAGTGGGTCAGGAGCAGGGAGGAGGACCAGCCTGGAGGAGAAAGGGATGGGGACACCTCTCCTCTAAGGACCCGTCTCCCCGTCAGGACCGCCGGCTCTGGCCTTGGACAGATCTGAGCCCAGGGGAGACGGGTGGGGGTTCAGGATACAGCAAAGCACGGGGACCAGGCCGTGCCACCTGCCTCCAGGGCCCTGGCCTGGGAAGGTAACCCCTGGTTGTGCTGAACCCCTCGGCATCTGGTGCCTGGTGCGCCGCAGCCAAGCCTCAGAGGTGGCGGCTCCAGTCTCCGGCCGCAGCTCGACGGGCGCGCGGGCTGGGGCGACTCTCGCTCCAGGGCGGGTCACGGGTGGCGTGGCCGAGGGGCCGGGCAGTGGTCGCTACTGCTCCGTCAGTGAGAGCTGCAGGATGCGCTCCAGCTCCTCCTCCTCGAGGCGCGCGCGTCGCCGCCGCTCCTCCTGCTCCTGCGCCGACAGCTCCATGGCCAGCCGCAGCTGCTCGGTGTAGCTCCGGAACACGTGGCCGCCTGGGCCTGGGCCTGGGCTGGGCAGGGGGCTGGGGACCGACGCCGTGGGCGCCGGCTGGCGCTGAGGCGTAGGCGGGGTGCTCCTGGGGGCGGGTAAGATACGTCGAGGGCTCCGGGGCGCACCTGCCCACAAGCCGGGCCGGGAGAGAGCATGGAGACCCCAGGGCAGAGCAGGCTTCGTCACCCTCCAGTGGAGGCCACAAGTCCTGCCTCACCTCCCTGGTTCCCACACAGCTGCGGAGATCCCAGCCCCTACCAAGCCCATCCTCCCAGTCTACCACGGCCCAAAGCATGTGGGCATTTCATAGAACCCCAGTCCCGACGCCTATACTGGTGAGGGGCTCGAGGCCATGAGGGCTGAACCCTGCTCGCCCACCTCAGGGTCAGGAAAGGATGGTGCTATAAGCCATCTCGATATTGGCAGGAGCCCTGGCGAGGGTACCATGGTTTCTCTGGGCTAAGGGGCTGCTCAGTTGGCACCCACTGTGACACGGTAATGGTGTGCTCTGTGCTTATATATTAGAGAGCAGTGACAGGTGTCTCCAAACCCTGTCTGGACTGGAGGGCACTGACCTGTCCTGTCGGCGACTCTCGTGGGACATGGGGTGAGTTCCTGGCTTGCTGTTGGTTAGCGCCTCCCAGATAGTGACCTGAAGGGAGGGGAAGTGAGCCAGTCAGCTATGGGGATGCCAGTCTGGTGGCCCAGCGTGGCTGCGGGGACGCACCTGGTCATATTCACTGCCCGCTTCAAGCAGGCTCTGCTGGATGGCGAACTGCAGCAGGTCGTCATCGTCATCTCGGGGGGCTGCCTCCCGCTGGCCACCCAGCACACTGTAGCCGCGTGGGGCCTCAAACAACGCCGGGGAGATCTCACAGCCGCGGTATGAGGCTGAGGGCACCAGGCTGGGGTCAGCATGGGGGCTGCCCACCCCTCTGGGCCTGCTCCCCCCAGGAACAGGGGCAGGTGAGGGTGCGTTCTGAGGGGCAGTGTCTCACTCGTGGAACTGGAGCTGCTGACACTGGAGGAGTCACTGCCTGGGGAAGGGGTCTCGCTGCTGGGGCTGCCTCGCACGGACGGCACCGGCTCATCGCAGCCATTGAGGTTCCCAAAGGTGATGCGGGCGTTGAGGATGTGGAATATTGGGATTTCTGAGGATAAGGAAACCATCAGGGGCCACCACCCATGGCCTCACACCTTAACCCTGCCCATTTACCTCATCTAAGCCCCACCCCTCCACAGCAGCTACGGAGAAATGGGGCTGGGGTCTCACCAATCTTGACAGGAAACCCAGGTGGCAGGCGCAGGGTAATGAAATCCCGGAGTTTGGCGAAGAGCGCATTGCTGACAGCCATGAGGTCAATGATGGGGGCCACCTGCTCACACAGGGACAGGGGATGCTCCTCACATAGCCACAGCTTGGCCTTGAACCTGTGCCCCGGATCCCAAGGGGTGAGGGGCATGGCAGAAGCCGTGTCCTCCCAGCACCTTCTTGAGCCCATGGCCTTCCCTGCCCACCCCACCTCCAGCACCAGCAGGGGGCCTCACTTCTGTGTCTTGGTGGTCAGTTCCATGGGGCGGCCCATGTCACGGCTGCCAAGCTCAAAGTTGGGGTTGAAGTACTCTTCTGCGGTGATGGCAGTGGGGTTGGCTTGGCTCAGAGTCTGAGTGACCAGGGTCTGTACCACATGGGGAGGGGCCCAGGAGGCTTCCTCAGTCCCTGCTGCCAGGCCGACTGTTTGGTATTATGAGCCCCAGAGCTGTCCCCCTGCTGCTGTGGAGCTGACATGGCCTCAGCACTGTGGGCATCTGGGCCACACAGGCCATGCTCAGCAGGATGCCTCCCAGGCCTCCTCCTGAGCCACACCCACAGCCTTCCACACAGGGGCACCCCTGGTGCACACTCACCCCGTTTTGGGGGCCCCCATGCTGCTCAGCAATTCCCAGGAAGGACTGCAGCGGTGTCTTACAACCTACAAGAAATGTGGTGTCTCAAGGACACTGCAGCCCTCTGAGGCAGGGGCACCCAAGACCTAGGGAGGAGACTGCTCCCGGTGGGAGGGGGGATGGCTCCCCCACAACACATGCCCAAGGCACTGTCATCGAAGTGTGACCGAGGACTCCAAGGGACAGGGGCCAGGTCTACTATAAGCACAGTTGGCATAAAAGTAGGCCTGGGGCTCAGGACACTTCCAACAGTGTCACTCTCCAGATTGGTGACTTTGGACAAAAAAAATACCTACCTTTGATGAGCAGTTTTGGGATATACATGTTTGTGTGTGTTTTCCTTCAGGCACATCCATACTAGTGACTTCATTCTGTACTTCTTTGAGGTAGAAACTATGTATTTCCACTTTGCACAGACTAACTGATGCCCAGAGAGTCAGATGTGGTATCAACAGGCACAGAATCAGTGACAGGCCCCCTGACTTTCTGCCTAGGGTATGTCCCACTAGACTTGAATGGCCAATAAATACCACACATGACGTTTCTCACGACTCCCAAATTCAGTGTAGACATTAGTAATCAATTGTAACATTCCTTCCCATTGAGCCCAAATGTTCGCTTAGAATCTTAGCAGCCCTCGGCAGCCACTTCTCATCATTAGGACTAGGCCCTTGAATTGAAGCCCTTGTGTGAAAAAAAAAAAAACTATCCTGGCTTTTGCTAGGATGTCAGAGAGAAAATACTGATGGAGGTGCTCAAGTGGGAGATGATTCCTCACACCTCCTCACACCCACCTCTGCTTCCTTACCTTTAACCTTGCCCTTGTGCTGTTCTGAAAGATGCTCTGTCCGTGTCCGGGTGATGAGCTCTACATTGGATGCCCCATACACCTGGGGACAGATAAAGAAAGGGTCAAAGACAGCTCTGGTATCCCTGCCCTATGCTTCCAAAGGCATTATGGACACTTCCTGCAAGGAAGGCTCTGGAACTGTTTGCAGGAGGAACTGTTTGCTCCAATCTCCAGGCCTTTGGACAAGTAAATATATGAAGTCATTCATTCATTCTCTTATTCATTCAACAAACATTTTTTGAGGAGTTTTTATGTGCCAGGCACTGAGGCAGCAGCAGGGATACAGTGGTGAGCAAACATAGCCAGACATGACTCCTGCCCTCTTTAGGCTCCCAATCTAGTTGAAGAGATGAGAAAATGGGCAGTTATACTACAATATGTGCACTGGTGGGGAGAGGACAGGGCTGTGGGAACAAAAAGCAGAGGTCTTAACCCAGCCCACAGAAGCAGGGAAAGCTTCCAGAAGGAAATAATACAGAACCTTGCAGCATTTGTTAGGCCATTCATTCATCCACAGCACTGTGTAGCCCCACGTGGGTGATGTGGGAGTCCCAGGGTGACCAACACAGGCTTCTCAGGGGTAAAGCATGGCTTTAGAGTCAGGCAGCTAGAGTCTGAACCTCAGCTTAGTCACAGCTGTGTGACCCTGTGCAGGTCATGTAACCACTCCAAGCCTCTATTTCATCATCAAAAAATGGCCCACATCCTACTCCATCAAGTTGTGAATATTAAGTGGGATACTGTGGAAAGGGCTCAATAAACATCTGTAAAATGAGAATAATAATAGCACCCACCCAAAAGGGTTGCATGAGAATTAAATGAGCATGTGTGTGCACACATGTACATATTCATACACACATATAAAATGTCAGAACAGTGCCTTGAACATTAATATAGGAAGTGTTCAACACACTCTGGCCATCCGCATCAGCTGCCTCTGAGGCTAGTTCCCTTCCCTCCATGTTGCCTTGCCTTTGCACCTCCAAACCTCAGGGAACCACTGCCCAGCTCACCATAGGCAAGAGTTTGGCAGGGTCTGGCACCTGGGAGCTGTGGCCTCACCTTGGCTTCATACCCATTCACCATCTCAGTCTTCTCACTGCGCCAGCCCAGGATGCCAGTCTTATTCCTGGGGAAGGAGAGTGTTGCAGGTGAGGGGGTACCCCACTCATCTGGCTCCAGGCTACCCAGGCTATGCCTACTCACCTCTCAAAGGAGATGTTCCTGGTGTCAAGCTGCGTTGTGACAACGGGTGCGGTGAGCCGGCTCAGCACCTGCTCCTCGGTGGGCTGAGCAGCGGCCAGCAGCAGCTCACGGTCCTGCCCAGCCAGCGCCAAAGTCTCTGTGTACACCACCCGGCGGTCGTGGTCAATCTCCATGACCATGGCGCTTGTGTCTGCCAGCCACGGAACAGCACAAGGGGGATTAGGAGTGACAGGCTGTCCCCAGCCTCCCCACCCTGCCCCACCTCCCACCTGCCCGACCTTGGCCCCTGAAGATGAAGCTGCGGTTCCCTCGCTGCCATGTCATGTGGTCAAAGCCCAGGAGCGTGGTGTCTACCCGCAAGTTCTGACCACTCTTCCACACTTTGTAGGTGTCACTAGGGCAGATCTTGGATACCAGGGGCACTAAGTAGAAGGGAAAGTCAGAGGTGGCTTCAATTTGCCTGGCCCACCCAAGCTGAGCCACCTCAGGGCATGGGGGTCAGGGTTAGTGGTGGGCCAAGAAAGGGTAAGGAAACTGGTGGGAGAGTAGCCCATTCCCCCAACTTCCCCCACACCAATGTAGACCACAGTCACTCAGATATAATCAACCCAAGGCTGGGGACAGGCATGTTTCAGCCACTGCCAAGTCTTGAATTTCTACCATTTGTTCATTCATTCACTCAACCTTCCATCCAATCTTCTAACAAGTATTTATTAAACACCTACTGTGTGCCAGGCACTATTCCAGTCTCTGGGGATACAACATTGAACAAACAGTGCCCCTGCCCTTTTGGACCTTACCTTCCAGCAAGGGGTGACAGGTAACAAATGAACAAATCATTACAAAATGAAGGAAATCATAATAATGGAACTGAGACAGTGTCTGAGGCAATGTGGAAAGGTCTGAGGAGGCAGCATTGATTTGAGAACTATAAGACGAGAATATGCCACAGAAGAGCTATGAGAATGCTCCTAGCAGGGAGCAGCAAGTGCAAAGGCCCTGAGGTGTGAGAGTGCCCAGAGAGGCCCCATCAGCACCTCTTACCCCAGCTTGTGAACTCCCACTTCATCTCCACGTAGAAGTCCTGGGCCTAGAGGATGAGAAAGAGAATGGCTAAGCCTGCACTAGCAATAGTGCTCAAAGGCTACAGCACAGAGGCTGGGAGGTTGGCCCTCACCTTGCGCAGCTTCTCCAGGAGCACGGGGATGCCTGCCAACCGCTTCACCACCCGCTGGTAGTCCCGGTACCGCAACACCAGCTGCACCAACTCTAGGTCCCGGGTACTCACAGCCTCCTGAAGCACTGGGGAACGGAGAGGTCACAAGGAAGAACCCTGCCTAGGGCTCCCTTCAGTCAACCAGAGGTGAGGACATAAAGCTGGGAGACCCTGGCTGTGGGGCCAGGATGAGAAGGGGTGCCCACCTGTCCAGCCGCTGCGATTCTCCCTGCCCACGTCTGCACCGTGTGCTAGGAGCACACGAGCACAATCAAGGTGCCCCAGCGTGGTGGCCAGGTGTAGGGGAGTACGGCCACGGGGATCCAGCTGCTCAATGTCCACCTGGAGAAGGAGGTGAAGACATAGCCCTGTCACTTCTGAGGCAGCCCATCTGAGCCCAACAACCTCTAAGCAGGCAGCAACCTCCTGGCTGCTCTGCCTTGCCCACCTCACAAGGTAATGGAAGAGACAGACACAAGCTGGGGTCCGGTGAGAGGGGAGGGGCCTGTGGGACACGACAGGAAGTAACTCTGAGAAAGGGAGGGCCTTCCTCTTTCCTGTCCACCTAAGTCCCCAACTGGGTTCACTCCTTCAAGGCCCCCCAGGCTGCCTTCAAAGAGTAAACCTGGAGCTTACAGGTGGTCTAGAGAGGTTGCTTACCAAAGACAGCACCTGAGACAGGACGTATCCTGGAGTCCAAGACCACGCCTTTAGGGAGGGCTACCAATTTACATCACTGACATGATCACTGAGTGAGGTTTAGTGAACAGTTATAGTAAAACATTGATAGGAATGAAAGAATATGTTCATGATACAACTTCAAACCTACATCTTGTGCCTGTGGGACATTATGTATTAACATTTTAAAAAATCCTATTAATGTTTTGTGAATAGCATGATTATATTGCTTGAGATTTTTGGTGGGTGATAAAAGCATGGTTGTTAAATACAAATATTTAAACATATTCCAGGAGTCTAGAATTTCTAGTTAAATACAGTGTACTGACCATGTGCACGTAATTCCCCCCCTCCTTCTTAAAACTTGATTGAAATGCCTGTAAAAGATGTCTACTCCAACTATGAAGAGATCATTGAAACTATCCTTCCACCGTAAATAGAGAAAAACCACTGGTTCAAAATATTTGAAATTGTTTTTAAACATTAGGCAACAGGTAGGCTAGGACTGTGATCCCTGAAGTAAGAGAAACAAAACATGATGGGCCTTATGATAGCCTGGATTTCTAGCTGAAGGAACATTCCAGACTGCAATTCAGGGAGGGGAATCTCCATCAGAGCATGATAGTCTCGGTGAAGAGGTGAGGAGACAGACAGGAGTTCAGGGAGGCTGAGGAAGCCAGAAGTTGCAGGGCAGAGTTCAGGAAGGAGGGAGCTATGTAGATAAAAGAGCTCTAGAAAACTGCATGGGGTCCCTTTGAATCTTTGCTGAATACTAAACTTCACATGTATAGAGTGAAACTCAACAACACCAGGCAGAAAAGGAGCAATAAGCTGATAAATTCTCAGCGGTCATCCAGGGCAGGGGGACATTCAAGCTCTAGCCTGCCAGACTGGAGAGTCTTTGTTGTTTACCCCAATTCTTGTTCATTATTCAAAAGAGACCTGAGAAGGATTATGCCTTAGTAGTAGGGTTCAACTATCCCTAGAGAAAAGGCTCGCCTTGACCCAATCTAATAATGACTAAAAAGAAACTCAAAAGGATCAAACTGATTTACAAGTAACTTAATTTAGTCTGCCAGAACAAAGCCTAATACTTTCAAGGAGGACAACAAAATCCAGATGCTTAACATCACAACATTTTCAATGTCCAACATCTGGTTAAAAATTACTAGACCTGAAAAGAAGTGGGAAAATGTGACCCATAATCAGGAGAAAAATCCCTTAATAGAAACATAATAAGAAATAATAAAGATGATGAATGGCTCAACATGCTCAAGAGTACAAAGCTAAACATGAGCACGACATTCTGGGGAAAACAAATAGGAGAAAACAAGTACAATATCGGAAATGAAAAAATCACTGGATGGAAGTAACACTACAGAATAAAAAATCGGTGAACTTTAAGACACAGCAATAAAACTATACAAACTGAAACATAGAGAAGAAAAAAGTACTGGAAAACATTCAAGGAGCCTTAGCAATCCGTGAGATGCTATAAGGCATTCTAACATATGGATCCGAGGATAGGGTAAGGAGGTAGGGGAGATAAAACAAATATTTTCCAAATTTGTTTAAAAAAAAAACTAGTAGTGGGTTGAATACAAGAAAATATATGTCTACATCCTAACGAGCAGAATCTGTGAATGTGACCTTATTTGGAAGAAGGGTCTTTGCAGGTATAATTAAATTAAGGATCTCAAGATGAGATCGGCCTGGATTACCCAGGCAGGCCCGAATCCAATGACATGTCTCTATAAGACACAGAGGGGAGAGATACATATAGAGAGGAGAAGTTCCATGGAAGGTGGAGGCAAAGACTGGAGTTATGCATCCACAAGCCAAGGAATGCTTAGTGCCACCAAAAGCTGGAAGAGGCAAGGAAGGATTCTCCCCTAGAGCCTTTGGAGGGAGCGGGGTCCTGCTGACACTTGAGTTTGGACTTCCAACCTCCAAAAACATGAGTATACATTTTTATTGTTTTAACCCACCCAGTCTGTGGTAATTTGTTGCAGAAATTAATGAAAAGATAAATCCACGGGACCAAGAAACTCAATGAATCCCATATAAGACAAGCACCAAGAAAATTACACCGAGGTCCATCATAATCAAATACTGAAAAGTAGTGATAAAAAAAATTCTTAAAAGCATTTTGGGAAACGATACAGTATGTGTGGTAGAGTAAATATAGGAAATACAACATACTTCTTATCAGACCCCATGCAAGCTAGAAGACAGTGGAATGAAATCTTTAAAGTGCTAGGGAAAAAACTGTGAACCTAGAATTCTACAGGCCATGGAAAATATCTTTCAAAAATAAAGGGGAAATAAAGACCTGTGGACAAACAAAAGCTAGGAGAATTGATTAGTAGAAGACATGCAAGAAATGTTAACACTATTCAGGTGGAAAGAAAATGATACCAGATAGAAATTTAAATCTACAAAAAGAAGTGAAGAGTGCCCCAAATGGTGAATTTATAAGAATGTCAACAAAAATATTTAAAACTCACAGAAATAAAGAGGAGATGAGAAATGTCAACACATTTTTAGAACATGAGAAGTGGTTGGGGCATCACAACTGACTTGGGGGGCAGAGATACTAGAACCTGAGCATTCACAGAGGGACCCCAGCAAGTAGCAAGCCAGATCTCCCCCCTAGCACCCTTGAAAGGTGCAAACCATGCAGACAGTGGAAACAGCAGATGTGGGAGTGAGGGGCTCAGGGGTGAATACAGGGGGGCTGGTTAAAATTCAGAACCCCTGGCTCCTTCCCCAAACTTGTAAAGCTGGGAGATACCCCCATTTCCCCTCTGCAGGGTGCCAGGGGGTTCTTCTCCACAGCAACTGATCCTGAGATCCACTGGACTCAGAAACATTGGGCTGAGGATGAGGTCATGGGGCTGAAATCTGGTGAGCAGTGGAAGCCCAGTCCCTTTGAAAGGGCAAGCTCCCAGATTCTATTTCAGCCAACTGGGACCCAGATCCTACCTTAGCCAATCAGAACCTGGATCCTATTTCACCCAATCGGAGCTTGGTCTCTCTCCTCTCCAGTCAGCAAAGAGCTCACCCACCACCCTTAGACCCTGCTAATTGACCAGAGCCACGACCTATCACCCCACCAACTACCCCTAGGTCCAGCCAATCCGCCAGAGCCACGACCATCACCCCACCAACTGCCCTAGAACCCCATAAAACCTTTGTGGTATTGAAACTCGCTCTTTCTCTGGCATCTTGCCACTGCGTTGGTGTAGATGAGAGATTGAGCTCGAGCTAGCTCGAATAAAGGCTCTTTGCTTTTGCATAGGTGTTGGCTCCTTGGTGGTCTTCTGGGATTTGCGACTTTAGGCACAACATTTGGGGGCTCGTCCGGGATCCCAGAGACCCCCAGGACTCCTGACCTGGAGGGCCCTGTGCTAGCTGGTGAGTGCACACAGTTATCTGTCTGTCCTTGTCTACCTGTGTCTCACTCTGTCTTTATCTGGGTCTCACTGTTTTTGTTTGCAAGCAAGCCTGTATAAGCCTGTAGGAGCTCCAATCTGTATCAGGGTCGGCATTGACTTAGGCGGACGCGCTGGCAGGTCGCCGACCAGGGGTCCTGGGAGACGTCCCTTGCCCCCATCTGGAGGACGAGGTCCTCATCTTTGAGGAAAGTCGGCTGCCGCTGCAGTCCAACAGGCCCTCAACTTACTTTCAGTTTTGCCTCCGTGGCCACGGCAGATTCTTCTCTGTAGGCGCCTCTTTGTTGTTTGTCATGTTTGTCTTAGTCTTGTTGACAGAAGAAATGGGACAGACACAGACTACCCCCTTGTCTCTCATGACAGACCATTTTTCTCAGACGTTAGCGAGAGAGCTCACAATTTGAGCATGGACATCAGGAAGAGAAAATTTCGTGTTTTCTGCACCTCGAGTGGCCGTTCTTTAACGTTGGCTGGCTGCCGGAGGGAACCTTATCATTGTGTCTCAGTCTGTATGTTTGTGTGTCTAAGTGTGTAAATGAAAATATCTTTCTACCTTCGGATGGTATTAATGAAATTGATTTAAAGACAAGTGCTTGTGAAAATTGGGCATTCTAAAACTTCCAGAAAATCTGATAAAAAATGTTAAGCATTAATGCTAATTTGGGTTTGCCTGAGGCGGGCATGTCCTTGTAGTTATCAGCTGCCTAAGTTTACCTAAGGTCATTTAAGTCAGATGTTATCTGCTAAATCTTTTAAGAATAAAATGCTTAAAGGCTTGGCTTTGTCTAATATTCAGTAAAGGTCTTTTAAGTAATCTAGCATAGTTGTTATGAATGAGTGAACTAAGTGAGTGTGACAAGTGAACACCTCTTTAATTGCATGTTACAGTGTGTATACCTACCTGCAGCCTGAGAATCTTTGTAGTGACCTAAAATCTTAAAGTTTTGCCAAGCTGATATACTTTATGTTTAGTGAGAGATTGTGCTGTAAAGCTCACAGTTACAGAAATTATAAAATGTTCATAAATTTGTCAATCTAAAGAATGCTAGTATAACAGTTTACAATAGCCTGCTTCTCAGTGTTCACTAGAAATTAAGATACCTAGTGGTTTTAAGTTCTAATTAAAACTACTTAAAGTAATAAGGAAAACATTTCCGTATGCTAAAGAACATGTCTTTTGATAAAAGAAAGTAACTTTATTGTAAAGTA